AATCATCCCGGGACTCTCGACCGGCCCACTTCGGTACCGCTAGTAAATTGTCAACGGGGGGAGTGGGGGATGTCAGGGGCGGCGGGTGCTGTAGATAGTAAATGTAAATATGTAAATATTTGTGTCACTGCATCCTCGTAAATTACAAATATAATGCAATGTCTGTGTCTTTGACATTAGCGCTGCCAGCCACCTGTGCCCTGCTACTACGAAGCCAGTTCAACAGACCCTGGATATGTTTGAGTAACAAACAAACTAACAACAACAAACTAACAAACGAGATCTCACTAAGCGGTCCTACGACGCTGGTTATCAACTCGGTAAATCAAGCCAGGGTTTCTCTCATCCAGCTGAGAGCGCGTTCACGTCTAAGACACGAGTGGATCTGACTTTAATTACATTTGTCTCGAGTGTTTCATCAACATAATGTGTTGCTTAAAATAATACTTCTGCATACAGTATGTGACACTGTGAGTGTTGCACGGCCAGATACGGCTGGAGAAGCTGACTGAGATAAGGAAATATATGATATATTATGATATTATATGATCGATGATCTGATTGATGATGTAATATGAATGATAAGTGCGACACGTCGGCGTCTTCTCTGCATACGGCAGTTTAAACTGTATTTCTTTTATCCTGTAATATGACTTGAGAGATTTAAACTCCGCACACTGAGTTGATCTCTTTTCTATAGACGCCGGAGGCGGGCAGCGTCAGGTAAAAAAGTTATTTAGCCTTCCCAAACCTGAGCCTCACGCGCCGCCTATGGGGGATGTGCTAGCGACTTATCCGACCGGCCCACTTCGGTACCGGCCCATCGGGATTCGTCCCGATGGCCAGTCCGCCACTGCACCCAGCCCACGTAAACTGTCAACGGGGGAGCCTCGCTGCGGGGGAAACGGTGTGACCTAGTGTCCCGATCGGAGTGGGAATAATAATAATAATAATCCGTGCATTCTATCCATTATTTTCCCCAACATTGTGGTGAAAAAAACCACACGTTTAATCCATGTTGGTGTATTACAACTACAAAAGCATCGGTTTGTTTTCTCATCAGGAAATGCAGACCGGCACAACAAACGATTTTTAATCATCATTCTCACGATCATTTAATGTATCATATGTTTGCCGAATTGACATGAAAGCACTAATAAATAGTAGTTTCATCCACTTGAGTTTACAACTACAAAAATAATCGATTTGTTTTTATATCACATCCTACGGGAGGAAATTCAGTAGCTCTCACTACCGATTTTTAATCCTAATGTAATCATCATCTTCAACCACGATCATTTATGTTTATGTTCGCCGAATTGACATGAAAGCACTGACAAATATGAATATACTGTAGTCAACTTCATTACAACGTTATTAACGTGCCTAAACTCAGTAATTCACCATTTCTACGCATGACAACACACTTTGTCCGTGTTTGGCTCTCTCGCCGCACAGTGAAGCGTTCCCGCATTGACGTCACTTCCGGCTTCCCCCAAAACTTCTAAATGAGTCGAAGGAATTTCCCCGCGATGTTCGAAATTATTTATATTTAACGGAACGGTATCGCTTTTCTTTTTTAAACTGACGGTTCGAGATTACTAGTAGCCCAATATTTCATTGCACAACAGTTGTTGGGATGCTGTCACAGGCTCTTTAAGTAATCAATAACTGAATTTGATATATAGAGTAGGTTATCATACTTAAAATCCAACATTTAGATTTGACTAAATAAAAAGAAAAAAACCAATAGTCTCTTAATTAAAAAATTGAGAGCCCAAGGGAGATTCGAACCCGGGTCTTAAGTGCCGCTTAAAGTTTACTGAGAAAAAAGTCTGTTATATATATACATATTTCTCAGTATGTATATCAACGGGACATTTGCCTGTCTTTTTCCGCCATCAAAATGTACAAACGACACATCAAATCACATCTACAGACCAAGACGAAGCGAATGGAAGTACTCCCAGACTCCTAGCGTGTGAAAAACTTGTGCAAAGTATCCGCAAACGGAGCAGTGGCTGTGATGCTAGCTTTGCGGCTAGTGGTTAGCATTTTCAATGGAAATATACATCGAAACATCGTTTCAGTAAAAAAACAAGGTCCCAGTTGGGGGACACACGACACATCAAATCACATCTACACATCAAGCCGAAGCGGTCGGACCTTCCTTTGTGCCGTAAAGGGCACCGTACAGCATGAAAACGTGACCTCTGACCTCGGTTTTGACCTTGTCGAACGTCGCAGGGGCCCCACATTTTCCAAGCGGGTTCCACCACACGTTAAGCAACACACTCTCAAAGTCTCGGAGCGCCACGCACCTTTTTTCAATTTGTTTCATGTTCTACCCCTCCACCACAAGCCTGTCAGACCCTTAGCTTATGAGAGGATTTTGTGATAAAGTTTGACATTTAATTGAATAAACATTTCTGGGTGGGTTAGGGTTCCCAGATTCCTGATCTGGGCCCTATTTAGAAGACCCTGAATAAAAAATTAAGACCACATATTAGGTTGACGGACACCCCTCCCCCGTAAGTATAAGTACACAGCAAGTGAATACTCATGTTACTGTGCAATATGTGAAAAGTGGGACCCCATATTGGGTTGATGGACACCCCCCCATTAAGTATAAGTACACAGCAAGTGAATACATGTGTTACTGTGTAATATGTGGAAAGTGGGTCCCCATATTGGGTTGACGGACACCCCCCCCCCATAAGTACAAGTACACAGTAAGTGAATACTCATGTTACTGAGCAATATGTGAAAAGTGGGACCCCATATTGGGTTGATGGACACCCCCCCCATTAAGTATAAGTACACAGCAAGTGAATACATGTGTTACTGTGTAATATGTGGAAAGTGGGACACCATATTGGGTTGACGGACACCCCCCCATAAGTACAAGTACACAGTAAGTGCATATTCGTGTTACTGTTTAATATATGGAAAGTGGGACCCCATATTGCCTTTGGGCCACCCCACCCATGCAGTATAAGTACACACTAGTGAGAAGAGTGCCATCTATTGTCCAATGCATGCATACACACTCATATGCTGTTTGTGTACTCATTTAGACTGGCAAGTGACGGTAAAAAGCCAAGGCGGTCCCTTCTCCTTACCTATTGCAGATTCAGTCTTCCCAGCCTGGTGTAGGTCTACAATTTGGTTCCTGGTGTCCTTTGACAGCTCTTTGGTCTTGGCTATAGTGGAGTTTGGAGTGTGACTGTTTGAGGTTGTGGACAGGTGTCTTTTATACTGATAACGAGTTCAAACAGGTGCCATTAATACAGTTAACAAGTGGAGGACAGAGGAGGCTCTTAAAGAAGAAGTTACAGGTCTGTGAGAGCCAGAAATCTTGTTTGTTTGTAGGTGACCAAATACTTATTTTACCGAGGAATTTACCAATTAATTCATTAAAATCCTACAATGTGATTTCCTGGATTTTTTTTCTCTCATTTTGTCTTCTCATAGTTGAAGTGTACCTAGGATGAAAATTACCGGCCTCTCTCATCTTTTTAAGTGGGAGAACTTGCACAATTGGTGGCTGACTAAATACTTGTTTGCCCCACTGTATATATATGAATATATATATAATATATATATACAATCTTACACTATGTAAAAACTCTGAAAAAGCTCCATAAAAACATCCTTCCTCTTCAGAAAAGAAAAAATGCAATACAAAATTAAATAAAATTAACAACTCCCTCCTGTAATGCTTTATTCTGATTGGTCGATTCGAAAAGTTCAGAGGTTGTTTACACCTGTTAACACACTGCTGTAAAACACAACATTTGCTTATTCCTTGCAATTTTTTTTAAAATAAAATGTGCAAAAATATTACTTATAGTGCACAGGATAAACATTTAAAGTGCTGTATAAAGCAGAAGTACTTCGAATAAACAGTTTTTCCATCAGTAAAATAATATGTGGGGATTGTCCACAGTTGCTTTGGATAAAAGCGTCTAACAAATGACATGTAACGTAATAAAGCAATTTTCAATCATGCCGATTTTCCAGTTGTCGGGGTTTTTCTCCACTAATTGGATCCGTTTTCTTTGTAGAAACCAGGCAGCTGGATATGGTTATAAAAACAAGGCAAATACAGAACATTTCCTAAAGCTGTAGAGAGTCTTTGTTAATTTTTATTGCAATAGTTGTACAATGTCAAAGTAGACGGCATATTCCACTTATTGGATGTGATTTTAAGTAGAAAACCTGCAGGAGGATATGGTTATTTCTAAGATGTGAGATTTATCTCTGCAAAATACAGACGAGAATATTTCTGAAGAACTACTTAAAACTTTGTATATTATACGTTTCTCAAAATAAGAAACTTCTAAAATAAACATTGTTAAAATCCCTTTAAATGAGAAAAACATTTTTGAATTAACTCTCAAAATAAGAATCTTTAAAATAACATTAAACTTAATAAAAAACTTTTTTTAAAATGCTACTTGGACCAATACAGGAATTGGAAGAAGCACACCTTCGATTTAAAAAATATGAGACTTCAGAAAACATTCAAAGGACCTCGCAAATGTGTCGTCATGTTTGGCACATTTGTTATTAATAAAGCATTTTTTAACGGTGCCGATTTCAGTCGTCAGCAGGATATGGTTATTTTAGAAATGTACGTTTCTATCTGGCAAATACAGATAGAAAATAAATGCAGAAAATAAACTTTCTATTTTGAGTGACAGGTTTAGAAGACTGTGAAACCCTGAATTGGGTATACCAAGTTTATATTCTTGATTTTTCTTTTGAGGCTAAATTGTTATTAGAGTCCACCTTTTTACCATCTTGTTATAGTCCAGCACATAGAAGTGCATATGGACTTCAGACTAACCTGCAATAAAGCCTGCATTTGGAAGGAGGGCAAGGTTTTCTAATGAACATTTCTCAAAATATTGCACGTTTAATCTTCTCCCTTTTACTGACATGACCAATGTCTGCTAATCCTATGTAGTATGAGAGTTTTTTAAAAGACTGTTCTAGTCCAGATGAGCTTTTATTGGACTGTTAAGGGAAGATGTATGCATGATAAGAGCCAAGCATTGCAATACAAACATTGGATTGACACGCTGTTATTTAAGAAATGTATAGACGTTTTATTATATTGCTAAGATAACGTCTCCGATATCAAGCTCTCCAAGGCAGTCGAAATATACGAGATGAATCTATGCAGTATTGAATATCTCCTCGCTCATCGTCCCGTTGAACTTTTACTTTTCATCGTCCCATTGAACTTTTCCTCGTCGCTCATCGTCCCGTTCAACAACTGCTCATCGCTCATCGTCCCGTTGAAACTTTTACTTTTCATCGTCCCATTGAACTTTTCCTCGTCGCTCATCGTCCCGTTCAACTTTTCCTCGTCGCTCATCGTCCCGTTCAACTTTTCCTCGTCCCGTTCAACATCTAGTCGTCTACTTTATGGGTATCCAGGAGTACTGAAAAAACATTTGCGTCATAAATGATGGACGTCAAGATAATACATGATGTTCTCTAGACTGAAATCACAGCATGAATTCTGTAATAGTTCCTCAAGGGCTTGGTTACTTCATAAATCCTGTTTTTGTAAAAAAATGAGCGATGTTGGAAGTGAATTCAGCAACCAAACATTGATGCATTAACTTATAAGACATGCAAGTGGTTTGTTTTAGCTCGTATACACACGATTAGCTTGACATTGCTGTGTTTCAAATGAATCATACATATCACAGATTTCAGATCTTTTACACCACTTTTATGCGACACATACTGTTGTCTTTTTGGCCTTTAGAGCTCACCTTTGTGCTCATGCTGGACGCCCCCCGTCGTGCCGTTGTTCTGCTGGACGCCCCCCGTCGTGCCGTTGTTCTGCTGGGACGCCCCCCGTCGTGCCGTTGTTTCTGCTGGACGCCCCCGTCGTGCCGTTGTTTCTGCTGAAATCCCCCCTTCGTGCCGTTGTTCTGCTGAAAATCCCCCCTTCGTGCCGTTGTCTCTGGGAACCAGGTTCTGCTGGACGCCCCCCGTCGTGCCGTTGTTCTGCTGGACGCCCCCGTCGTGCCATTGTTCTGCTGGGACGCCCCCCCGTCGTGCCATTGTTCTGCTGGACGCACCCCGTCGTGCCGTTGTTCGGCTGGACGCCCCCCGTCGTGCCGTTGTTCGGCTGGACGCCCCCCGTCGTGCCGTTGTCCATGGGAACAAGGTTTCTGCTGAAGCCCCCCGTCGTGCCCGTTGTCCATGGGAACCAAAGGTTCTGCTGACGCCCCCCGTCGTGCCGTTGTTCTGCTGGACGCCCCCCGTCGTGCCGTTTTTCTGCTGGACGCCCCCCGTCGTGCCGTGTTCTGCTGGACGCCCCCCGTCGTGCCGTTGTTTCTGCTTGGACGCCCCCCCGTCGTGCCATTGTCCATGGGAACCAGGTTCTGCTGGACACCCCCCGCGTTGCTTCGCCCCAAATGACGACCCGGTTCTGGACGCCCCCCCGTCGTGCCGTTGTCCCTCGTTACGACCTGGTTCTGCGACATTTGTTGTCTCGTTGACGCTCTGGGCTTTTGTTCAGGATTCTGGTGACCAGACGCATCAGCTTCCACGTCATTGGTTTTCCAGTTGTACTGAAAGAAAGAAGGATTGATTAACAAAATAAGAAACCAAAATAACTCACGTGATGTTATACGTCGACTGAAATCACAACGTGGAATTGTTCTGTAGTTTTCTTTTAATTCTTGCTTTTTTTAATGTGACATTTAATAATATTGGGAGGGATGAAACCCTCTGTAATCGTCACACATGCAGAGCACAGTGAAATGTGTTCTCTGCTTTTAACCCTTCCTAGCACCAGGAGTCTAGTACTAGGAGCAGTGGGCAGCCATTGCACAGCGCCCGGGGAGCAATGGGAGTGAGGGGGGGGAAGGGGGTTTTCCGGTGCCTTGCTCAAGGGCACCCCGGCAGGAAGTGAACTAGGACCTCTCCAAGAATCAGTCCACACTTCATTTTTAAGTCTGGTCAGGGACTTGAACCGGCAACCCTACGCCTCACAGTCCAATCCCCAAACTGACTGAGCCACTGCCGGATTGAGGGACCGTTTTTAAGATCAATTCTCAAAGTTATTCAATTTGGCACACATTTCTCAAACGCTTGGCATCAACATGCACAATATATCATGGGATGGCCATCAAATACAAAAATCTTCCCAATTTCAAGTTTTTAACACCAGTTTAAAGCATTATCACCCCATAGTGTTCCTCAAGGGCTGGGTGTCAACTTGGTATAAGACATACAGATATCATAATGTTTTAAACCCTTTTATACACGGTTTAAATATCTTGAGTTCATCTCATATTTCCCAGCTTTCAGATCATTTTCAACCACTTTAACACTGTTGACCTTTTAGTCTTTAGGGCTCACCTTCTCGAGCATCTTGGTCCAACATGGACTCCATCGACTGGAAAAGTTGAATGGCTTTCTTTAAGGAGATCTCATTGGGGGACAGATCTGTAGGAACACAGTATAATTAAAGGTCAGTGTCAGACAGAGAGAAGAAACAGCTGCATACAATCAAATCTTTTCAACTCTCAGTCTCCTCTGCAGCTTATATTCACCAGCTGGAAAACCAGAGACTGTGGACAGGAAACATGCTGTTATATCAAACATTATTCCTTCATCTTCAACACAATTATCAACAGGTAAATACCTCTCGCAGACAAACAGTCAGCACACAGACGAGCATCCAAACAGCTGCCATCTCTGCAGTTTTCCAAGAGAGTGTTGCCTGAGCACCAGCAGCTTTTAAAGGAGGGAAACCTCCAGCAGCTGCTACTGATCAGCACTGATTGTCCTCTCTGCACAGAGGGAAAACACATTTATCTGAGATTAAACTCTGAGAATGAGGAGTTTTTCATGAAGCTTGTTGGTGCATTTATGATTAGTAGAGACCATCATTTTAAATTCCACATTAAATATTCATATATTGTTTTTTTACTTTTCCTCCCTTTTACAGACATGCCAACTTTATATCAATCCCACCCATTACAAATCGTATATTATTATATTTAAACATGTCTGCATGATTAGGGCCAAACCTTCTAGACATACATATATATATGAATATATATATAATATATATATACAATCTGACACTATGTAAACACTCTGAAAAAAGCTCCATAAAAACTTCATTCCTCTTCAGAAAAGAAAAAAATGCAATACAAATAAAATAAAATTAACAACTCTCTCCTGTAATACTTTATTCTGATTGGTCGATTCGAAAAGTTCAGAGGTTGTTTATACCTGTTAACCACACTGCTGTTAAACACAACATGCCCATTTGCTTATTCCTTGCAACATTTTTTTAAAATAAAATGTGCAAAAATGTAACTTATATGCACAGGATAAACATTTAAAGTGCTGTAAAGCAGAAGTACTTCAAATAAAACAGTTTTTCCATCAGTAAAAGAATATGTGGGGATTGTCCACAGTACTGAATGTATTTAAGTTGCTTTGGATAAAAGCGTCTAACAAATGACATGTAACGTAATAAAGCAATTTTCAATCGTGCTCGATTTCCAGTTGTAGGGGTTTTTCTCCACTAATTGGATCTGTTTTCTTTGTAGAAAACCAGGCAGCTGGATATGGTTATAAAAACAAGGCAAATACAGAACATTTCCTAAAGCTGTAGAGACAGGTTTAAATGATTGTGCATCCTTGATGGGAAAACCATGTTTTTATTCTCGAGTCTTTGTTAATTTTTATTGCAATAGTTGTACATTATTTATGTCAAAGTAGACGGCATATTCCACTTATTGGATGTGATTTTAAGTAGAAAACCTGCAGGAGGATATGGTTATTTCTAAGATGTGAGATTTATCTCTGCAAAATACAGACGAGAATATTTCTGAAGAACTACTTAAAACTTTGTATATTATACGTTTCTCAAAATAAGAAACTTCAAAATAATCATTGTTAAAATCCCTTTAAATGAGAAAAACATTTTTGAATTAACTCTCAAATAAGAATCTTTAAAATAACATTAAACTTAATAAAAAACTGTTTTTTAAAATGCTACTTGGACCAATACAGGAATGGGAAGAATCACACCTTCGATTTACAAACTATGAGACTTCAGAAAACATTCAAAGGTCCTCGCAAATGTGTCATCATGTTTGGCACATTTGTTATTAATAAAGCATTTTTTAACGGTGCCGATTTCAGTCGTCAGCAGAATATGGTTTTTTTAGAAATGTAAGTTTCTATCTGGCAAATACAGATTGAAAATAAATGCAGAAAATAAACTTTCTATTTTGAGTGACAGGTTTAGAAGATTGTGAAACCCTGAATTGGGTATACCAAGTTTATATTCTTGACTTTTCTTTTGAGGCTAAATTGTTATTAGAGTCCACCTTTTTACCATCTTGTTATAGTCCAGCACATAGAAGTGCATACGGACTTCAGACTAACCTGCAATAAAGCCTGCATTTGGAAGGAGGGCAAGGTTTTCTAATGAACATTTCTCAAAATATTGCACGTTAATCTTCTCCCTTTTACTGACATGACCAATGTCTGCTAATCCTATGTAGTATGAGAGTTTTTAAAAGACTGTTCTAGTCCAGATGAGCTTTTATTGGACTGTTAAGGGAAGATGTATGCATGATAAGAGCCAAGCATTGCAATACAAACATTGGATTGACACAGCTGTTATTTAAGAAATGTATAGACGTTTTATTATATTGCTAAGATAACGTCTCCGATATCAAGCTCTCCAAGGCAGTCGAAATATACGAGATGAATCTATGCAGTATTGAATATCTCCTCGCTCATCGTCCCGTTGAACTTTTACTTTTCATCGTCCCATTGAACTTTTCCTCGTCGCGTTCAACTTTTCCTCGTCCCGTTCAACATCTGGTCGTCTACTTCATGGGTATCCAGGAGTACTGAAAAAACATTGGCGTCATAAATGATGGACGTCAAGATAATACATGATGTTCTCTAGACTGAAATCACAGCATGATTCTGTAATAGTTCCTCAAGGGCTTGGTTACTTCATAAATCCTGTTTTTGTAAAAAAATGAGCGATGTTGGAAGTGAATTCAGCAACCAAACATTGATGCATTAACTTATAAGACATGAAAGTGGTTTGTTTTAGCTCGTATACACACGATTAGCTTGACATTGCTGTGTTTCAAATGAATCATACATATCACAGATCTCAGATCTTTTACACCACTTTTATGCGACACATACTGTTGTCTTTTTGGCCTTTAGAGCTCACCTTTGTGCTCATGCTGGACGCCCCGTCGTGCCGTTGTTCTGCTGGACGCCCCCCGTCGTGCCGTTGTTCTGCTGGACGCCCCCCGTCGTGCCGTTGTTCTGCTGGACGCCCCCCTTCGTGCCGTGTTCTGCTGAAGCCCCCTTCGTGCCGTTGTCTCTGGGAACCAGGTTCTGCTGGACGCCCCCCTTCGTGCCGTTGTCTCTGGGAACCAGGTTCTGCTGGACGCCCCCCGTCGTGCCGTTGTTCTGCTTGGGACGCCCTCCTTCGTGGCCGTTGTTCTGCTGAAATCCCCCCTTCGTGCCGTTGTCTCTGGGAACCAGGTTCTGCTGGACGCCCCCCGTCGTGCCGTTGTTCCTGCCTGGACGCCCCCCGTCGTGCCGTTGTCCATGGGAACAAGGTTCTGCCTGGACGCCCCCCGTCGTGCCGTTGTTCTGCTGGACGCCCTCCGCTGTGCCGTGTTCTGCTGGACGCCCCCCGTCGTGCCGTGTTCTGCTGGAACCCGCCCCCCGTCGTGCCGTTGTTCTGCTGACGCCCCCCGTCGTGCCGTTGTTCTGCTGGACGCCCCCCGTCGTGCCGTGTTCTGCTGGACGCCCCCCGTCGTGCCGTTGTTCTGCTGG